ATTAATGTTCTATTTTCTTAACATCGGCAATTCTATTTTTCTCTCGTTTTTAAAAAAAAAAAAGAGTGGGAAAAATTAGACACTAAAAGGATGCTGAATAAAGATATTCTCCGGGAACTGTAAAGCACAGCACAAAATACTAATAATATAGCAAGGAAAAAAATACATCCACTAAAAAAGTCTAACAAATGAAGAAAACCCCAGAAGATGTCATTAATTTTAACCCTTAAGGAGGTGAAGATACAACTATGTCTCAAAAGTCGAGTCACAAAAAGCATTGAAAACAGACTTCTCAGAAACTTGATATACACCAAATATAAACAAAAGGTGCACAGTTCTCTCGTGTTTGTATCCTATCCAAGCCTTTTACAAAAACTTCATAACGAGCACTAAATCTTCTCTAAAGTAGTTGAAACAATCTCAAAACTTCACAAGCTAGCTTAAAATATGCTAGGCCACTTCATGATGTAAAATAAATGCCTGGTAGAAAGCATAGTTTGGCCTGTGTCCAACATGTCTTTTTCTTAATGGTATCCAGTGTTTTTGTCCAAACGAAGACTATATAATCATTGAAGGGACCTTCATTTCTAGAAAAAAAATGAGAGAACACCAAGGAATCTGGAATTTTTTCCCCTCTTTTTCCTCTTCTATTTCTTCTTGCTTTTCTGTTTCTAAATTTTGTTCTTTTGATGGACAGAGAATTAAGAATACGGGAGCTAGTGCAAATACTGCTTCGATTAGTCAGCAAGGAATTGTCTCTGGAAAAGCTCAGCTTAGCGAGTTAAAAGAATACTTCCAGATAAGCCCATTTTATAAGTTGTCTACTTGGAAATCTTTTAGGATGTGTGATACCCTGTCTAGGATTGTATATTTTCTTTTCTGTAGACTAGATTAGACTAGAACCACCTATAGGAGGTTTTTCCAGTCTTCTCTTCTACTACCTGTCATAAATTATGGTCAACCATGCATTCTCAGCTCCATCTGCTACGTGCCCATGCCATGATTGGCCTAACTCAAGTTGTTACGACAGATCAAAGTTTTCCATAGTCCATTTATAAGTTATTTGAGATTCCCCAGCTCAAATACTAGTACTTATTTGGGGCCAAACTTGGAGAACCATAAATTCGGGGAAAACGATGGATCAGCTGAGAGAATTGTGTGGTTTACACACCCAGATATTCTGAAGGCAGGAACAGCAAAGAAAGAGGAAGAAACCTATATGGTCCTGGAGGATTTATATGCCCCTTGCCTTGCCAATTTTGTTGTACCAAATCACACTGAAATGAGTCTGACGTTGTGCCCAATTTTTTAACTCGGGTCCAGGCCTTTTTTTTTTGGTTTCTTAATGCTAACCTTTCTTGCTCCTTTAAATGCTCAATGATGTGTATAATATCTTATTGATTGTAGACTGAAACAAACGGGCACTGTATTACGGAATTCTTGAATTAGATTTGAACGTGTCTACTGGAGAAATAGTCTGAATCCCATCCGCATTCCTAATTGCTGTTATTGAGAAAATTATTGCAGGATTCCTCTTAATGCTAGTATCTTTAGCGCTACATTTGTTTTCAAATTCGTTGTTTGTTTGAGAAACATTTGAGATGTCAAAACAATGACGTTTGAATATAGATGGTTATCTTTTGGAGAATAATTATACTTTTTTTTTTTTTTAATAATGTGTTAAAGAGAGGAAAGATCAAAGTATTTGGTAAATGCAGAACAAAAAAATGTATTTGGGAAATTGTAATTCTTTATTCTTTATATACTCACTCATTATTATTTATAGTGATTGTAATTTATATACATAGTAAATTCTCCTTAATAATCAGATACGAAGATAGTTAACTTATAAACTTTTGACATGCTAGTTCTAACGGAGCCTGCAGATATTATCTCAGTGATTTTAGAAGTATATTTATGTTCCTAGTCACTTTTGAAGAATAAAAACATTTTCCAACATAATACTCATAAATTATGGTTGTTAAGAAGTTATTCTATGTAGAATAAAAGTAATATATTGACAGTTTAGGGTTTAGCTCCTTATCATTAGCTCATGTAGAATAAAAGTAATATATTGACAGTAGAAAATAATTTTATTTAGTCAGTGACCGTGTAAAATAATTTTATAATCATTTAACGTAACCTGTTGACTTTTATATTATCTTAAAAGTCATTAAATGATCTCTAATTGATTGTGTAAAATGTAAAATAATTTGAAGTTATAGTTATCTTAAATTGATTGTAAAATTATTTGACATTGATAATATACTATTATTAAATCTTATATTATATAGGAAAATTAAACTAAAGGAGTATATCAGTTTTCTTAATAAAGATGGTTTTCAATAATTAATTAAAAAACTGAAGAAGTTAATGAAAAAAATCAAAGCCAATGGTTGGAGAAAAAAATTGTCAGATTTAGGGTGTGCTAAAACAAAGGCCTTTTCAGTGTCGTTAAATGTATTTTTTTTATGAGTATTTAGGATTTAAAAATGAGTAAATGGTTAAATTAGTCTTTGTAATTGTATATTATTCTTAATTTAGCCTCCAATTTTAATAAAATTTTAAAAAAATCATAAATAAAATTTTTCATTCATTTAAGTCTGTTCATTAAATAAGTTTCATTTTTTGAAACGAAAGTGTCTATATGACACAATAGTGTTATGTGACATAAATTTAGTATATATGTGAAGTGACACATTAGTATATTATATGGTACATGATGTATATGTACCACATGACATAATTATAATACTATCATTTTAATCTCTGAAATCATAATATTATTTCAGTTTAATTCTTAAAATTGTAATTTAATGTCATTTTAATTTTTAAAATTTTAATTTGATGTCACTTTATTTCTCAAATATTATCATAATTTTATTTTAATCAAATAATTATGACTTAAATATTTATACAATAAAATAGATAATTAACCTAATATTATAAGTACGATAATAAATATATTCATCTTTCAATTGTTAAATTTTTATTCTTTTATTTTTTAATACATAAATAAAAATTTCTGGTATATATGTTAAAATAATTATAAAAAAAAAATAGAATATCAAAGACATAGGAAATGTAATTTTTGGGAAATGAAAGTAATAGATATTTTTCACAATAGAAAAATAAGAAGTAATTTATATAAGATAATTAATTATGAAAAATAAAATATAAATATAGAGAAATTAGAAATTATTTTTATTTATGTATTTTAGGAAATAAAATGGATAAAAAAAATAGGGGGAAATTGACAATTAAAAGAAAAGATATAACATATTTAAAATAAAAAAAAGTATTTTAGTTTGTATAAAAAAAAATTATTTATATATATATATATATTCTTTTTTATATTTAAATATAAAATGATATAATTACAATGTCTTGTTATCTTTATTGCTAATTTTTTTATGTATTACATTTATAAAATATGTTTTTAATTTCTCTAAAAAATTTCAAATATGATTCTAATTTTTTAATTTATTTTTGTCCTTCTAATTTGGAGATGCATTACTTTTGATTCTTAAAATTATTTATATAATAATTTATAATAAATAATGGTATAAAAGTAAATTGAATAAAAAAATATAGTATATCTGTTTTAGATTGTTACCTTTGTTATTCCTTTAATGCAATAAAGCATCTTATTTTCTATTAAAACTTTAATGCATTATTTATTCTATGAACTACTTGGAAATTTTTAATTAGGTCTCTAAACTAAAAATAATTGTAATTGAGTCATTTAACTTTTCATTTTTTTTTTTGTAATTTAGTCCTTAAGACTAGATACATGTTTACATTTTGCAAAATGTAACATTTTTTTTAATATCTCTGTATTTGTAAAGTCATATCAGATTATTATTGCATCATCATACATGTTTAGCGAATTTTATTCTACCTATAAAAATTTTCATAATCTATTTAATCATAACAATTCTAGAATAATAAAGAATTTTAACCAATGAACTTCAAAATATAATACACATGAATAATAACTTAATTTTGGTTGTGTTTAAAGGGACAAACACGAATAAATGAATTATTTTTTAACTTAAACTAGTATTTTAGTGTAGATTTCTCTTTAACTTAAAATTAGTGTTTTAGATTTGAGAATGTATAAGTTATATATTTATTATATATAACTAATTTATATATATATAT